AATCGTTTGTCTTGTATAGAATTAAAGTCCATCTGCTATTGACAGAGTTAAATGTGTGTGGTCAAAACCTGACCTATTTTCGTAATAATTTGATTTCGATAATTCAATAATCAATCAATAATATCAACATTTAGTGGCAGACCATTCATAAATTTCGGTAACATATAAGAAATTCTATAATCCATATTAAATTTCCTATGTAAGCGCCGATCGAAACAAACGTTATGTTGTTACAACAAGCGAGACTACAATGGTGATTGAGTAAACGAAAGAAACTAATCGTGCGAAGCGGAATGAAAGCCGAGTGAAAAACGAATTGCACCAACACATTTAGGCCTTAAATTCCACACTTTCTATAGATCAGGTTGAGTCTTGATAAATACCTGCTTGCGGGAACTGACATCCGATTGATGACCTTGACCAATATCCAAAACATACTCTTTAACAAATTTTATGGTGATCCTTAAAAGGACCGTTTTGTCGTGATGGTTGACTAATGCTGAGCTATTAGGGTGTTCAACGAAGATGAGACTGGTGAGCTGTATGTTATTTGGAGCAAGGGTGACCCACGAAGAAACTTATTTCGATCCATAGCGATGCGGCTTTTTCCTCCTTGTGTTGCTCATGTGGGCTCTGCAGCTCGCTGCTTGCAGGCTGGCTTTCGTGGTGTACTGGCGAACAATGTTAACGTCACACGCTGAAAGCACTTCTGCTCCTGCTGCTGCTGACACCGACGACCAGATACCACCACACACGGTGATTGAATGAGCACCGTTTAGTGAGACAGGATCGAATTCGATTTTTAAATCTGTGTTAGGGAATGCCCTGTTTGCAGGCAATCGGTGATTATTTTGATCACCATTGCAACACTTGAACATTTGTGTATTTTTCAATAGTGACCTAATGAAAATTAATAAAGAGTTCATTTAAGCAGATTGATAGATAAATTTCCAATCGATTGTCTTGTTTAGAATTAAAATCCATCTGATATTGACAGAGTTATATGTGGTCAAAACCTGACCTACTGTCGTAATGCGGTCGATTTTGTTTTTTTTTTTTTTTTAATTGCTCCCCCAATATGTTGCCGAAAGACGTAATCCTACGTCAAAATATGTTTCTGGAAATCGATAATCCCGAGAATGTAAATACTAGTTGTTTGACAAATTTCTTAAACGCTGAGTAATCTAGCGATGAGTGTCCTGTATTTTTAGAAATGGCCGAATGAAATTTGACCGAATTCTGATTATTTTCAACAGAACTTCTCATGAGTAAAATAATGAAAACATTTCAATCATCCCAAATAACCAAAAGCTCCGCATTCAACGATAAAACTCACTTCCAAGTTCCATAAAGTTTACATAAAGTTCCGACAGAACCTTCAAGTTCCATAAAGTTCGAATAAAATTCTGACAGAACTTGCAACTTCAAATAAAGTTCCGACAGAACTTTCAAGTTCCATAAAGTTCAAATAATGTTCCGAAAGAACTTTAAAGTTCAATAAAGTTCAAATAAAGTTCTGACAGAAGCAACCAAAAATTCCGCATTCAACGTTAAAACCCACTTTCAAGTTCAATAAAGTGCATATAAAATTCCAACACAACATTCGGGCTACTTGAGAAGCTATAGAAAGCACACGAGGAACTTCAGGCTCCAAAAAGTTCCGATGCGTACTCCTAGCAACTTGAAGTTCAAAAAAAGTTCCAAAAAACATCCCCAAGCTCTTCTTAGGAACTTCAGGCAAGGCTGAAAACATGGCCACAACAAACTACCCAACAAGTTCCCAGCAGAACTTCTTAGCAACTTAAAAGTATCTTAAAAGTTCCCTGTGGATCTTCTAAGGAACTTGAAAGTTTCTAAAAAGGTCCGTCATTGCCCACATGAAGCAATCAGCACTAGTCTTTATTATTAACAAAATGTAATGTACGTAAATATTTAATAACTCAAATAAATAAATCATAATTCTTATATCTATGCAGTGCCTCAATATTGTATCAAAACATTAAAAACAATATTAAAGAGCAATTACCTGGATTCGAACCCGTGCCACAAGTGTGTTGGAATACCTGGTACTGAAAACTCCAACAGTAGGCTGGACAACATCTCACTTTAACATATCTCAGATGACGTAGCGGTTCGTGCTGGGGCTCTCACGCAGAAGGACTTTGTTTAATTCTTCAAACAGCTCCAATACTACTACTAATGCTGATAAATCATTACACGTTTATATCTGCCTTTAGAAATAACTTTCATAAAGACCTGACTTTAGAATTAACTTTCATAGAAGTGCGAACTAAATATAGAATTGGTGTACAGGACAAAAACCTTTTTTTTTACTTATTTTCTAAAAGTTCCGTTCAAGTTCCACCTGAAGCTGCTCAGAATGTTCTTCAATTATTGTACCGGAACTTTCAAGTTCTTATAACGACTTGAAAATGAGGCTGCTTAGAATTCTATAGACCACCTTCAACCAAGCTGCTTAAGCCACAAATAGCCATTTATCAGAACTTTTGGTTAGTTGGGATATGTGATTTAAAGAAGGAAAAAAACATTACGCATTAAAATTAAATTTATAAATAACTCCATAAATTTCCAATCGTGGTTACAAATTACGTGGCAAGTTTCATAACTGACTCCTAAAATATATGGAACAGTGCATCTCCAAAAAACTGCTCATGGTTAAAAGATGAAAAAATCTGAAATTATCAAATCATATTTTGTCTTCATACTTTTGAAACCTCAATTCTCATACATATATTTTTCAAAACTATTCGCATTGTCAAAAATAACGAGAGTAGGAAAATTCGAAAGGACTGCTAAGATTATTAGAAGGAAAAATCTCATAAAAGTACTAAGGGCGGTATCGATTCCGACTGCAGCTGTAAATATTGATGGATCTTCAAAAATGTTTAAGTTTCGGATTGTAAAATTCCAGTAAGCTCGAAGTTTTGAATCTCAAAAAATAGGTTCATGTTCCAATTCAGGAATCTAGTATTGTTCGAAAATGTATGAATTCTTCTCAAGGATTAGACCAAATGACCCTATGCTAACTGCTAAATATTCCATGGGATCGACTCATCTAACCGCTATACCGCTGTAATCCAACCTGCGACAGATGAGCTCTTAACAAACCGCGTCATCCCTGACAGACAATCCGCACTTCAAATCGCCTAAATATTCACCAAAGCGCAGATAGCAATACGCTCGTGCTCATCTGTTGCGGAAATCCGATACCTGGCGTTTAGTCCTGTCCAAAATTAGCCCATATTTCCCATTGACTACCATACATCGCATCCCAAGTCGAGCGCGGCGGGCGCACTCTGCTCAAACTTGAACAAGTGATAAACTAATTATTTTCCCTATTCATAACAAATATCACCCATAATCATTTGCCCACGGCGGGTGGCGTGGTGCTCGACTAAACTCGACGCAGCTTCTCAAGTATCGTCGAGCAAACACTTCAGCAGAGAGCACCGAAAAAAAAACTACACCAAAAAGTTCCCGATAATAGAATTTGTTTGCTCTCCTCCTCCGTTATCCCTGCTTCGAGTTGCGAGTAAACGTAGCGAAAAACTGCTCACTGGTAGTGCATATGTGGTTAGGATTTAGTTTCACTTTCCTCCTTGCTGATGCAACGACCCCGGGGGTGGAGGAAGTCAGGAAAAACGACCGAACCGAAAATCCAACAGATGTTTGCCTCCGGCCAAATCACATATTAAATAGACACTCAGCGGGTAGCCGCCAAGAGAACTCTGGAAGGGATGCTGCCGGGGTTGGTCGTAAGCACACAGTAGCACAATTCGCGCACAGAGCGATCGGGAGGAAAACGACCAGAAGTTATTAATAAATAAAAACAGTATAGAAATAATAAAATATTTACAAAGGAGCCGTAATTGAGTTGATATGTACCTACGAAGCATTACATTGGTACAGGTTTGTACCAGCATCTAGAGTCGGTGGCAGTCAGTGGTGCATTCGATTTTTTCCGGAGGGTTTCCGAAGGGTATCACTATCCACTGGTGCGGTGGCCAGGTTCTGTTTTCCAGCAAGCTTAGGGGTGCAAGAAGTGCTATCAATCATTAGCACCACCAGCTAGCTAGCTAGCGTTGGTCTTCGATTAGGGGTGGGTTGTTGGATTGAAAAGTGGGCTTTCTGTTTATGCTTGGGAGTAATCAGGTTCCACTTGTGCTTCTCGCAAGCCTGCATTGGTGCAGGCTTGAATGGTGATTTGGATTTGAATGGTAAAAAATATGCTATGATTTTGATGTCCTTGTATCTTAGATCTGATATTATTGCGTACTATTTGTTTAGCATACTCGTTTAGAGATATTTCACTTGTAATCTCTGCTCACAAAATTCTATTTCTGGTTTCAAATGTGGGTCTGAAAATTTAAATTCTCAATCAGTATCATTGCTATAACTAGTAGGAAAAAGGAACCTGCCGCCCACAAAATGATACATAGTTGTTTCACGCACATGCTTAATTACTCAAAACAAAATACAAGTGACAAATTTTCAGCGCATTTCTCAAAAATCAGTCATTTAAAAACTGCACTGAACCACCGTAACTGCTCCCATAAATCACGCTCACTTTGTTGTGTTTACTTCTTAATTGTCAAACTCCAACCCCGGTGGGTGCAATATCCAGCTCACTCGAGCAACTCATCTGCTTTGATCTGAACGGGTTGTAAAATTCTTCCCGGTTCCCGGTCGTCAGACTAAACGTTATCACGCGCTGGAACAACTCCTACGATGCGATGGCTGAGCACCGAGCACCACCGTCAGGCACTCCTCCGTTTGTGATGACATTTTTTACAATACCCACGAGAACACCTCGTTCGGTCGGGAACATCATCATCGCTTACATGTGATTATATAGGTTATATGTACCGTGTGCGCTCGCACTCACCGCCTGCTCTGTTGTTTTAGCTCGTAAAGTTTAACCACCACCGTTCGGTCGCCAGTTTGTTTACATTTCTCCATTTTTCCATTTTTCGTTTCAGATTTTTCCTTAAATTCTTCCTCAAGTGCAACCAGAACTGCTTGAAGAATGCCGGCAATCCGCGGGACATGCGACGGTTTCAAGTGAGTATTAATCGCCATCTTTATGCTCCCTGCCTTCCCTCTCATATACGCCCTACCCCGTCCATTCCGTTTCACTACAAACCCATCTCGTGGAATCAGGAGGAAGGGGTTTAAATTACTCCCGCTTAGTGGCTGGTAATTTGTAAAATTGTTCGTCCGTTTCTTTCGGCTTCTTGTCCTTGGTGCGATGGACGGTTGCTCGAAGAAGGAAGATAAAAAAAACGAAGAGGGAACGATGAAAACCAAAGACAAGCGACATAAATTAAAAGCCAACCAACGGCCGCCGCCTGAAGAGCGGTTGGAAAATGCAGAGTTAACTGTTTTTCCTATGGAAAATGTAATAAATTTCCAAGTGTAGGGAAAAAATGGACCCAAAATAGAACTCGAAATGTGTTTGTGTGTGTAATCCGTGCCCATTGTCCTTGGTACCGTCAAGTGGAGAATGTTTGGTGTGAAATTGAAATATGTTTGACGGCAGCTGTAGAAATGGAATATTAAAACGATTAAATGCTCCTTGGTAATTGGATAACCTTAAAATGCTCTTTTCTGCGTATCTACTCAGATTAACTGTCCTGCCCGTGTATATTTTATTCAGAGGAGTTTAGCAACAAGCAAGTGTCCAGAATGAGATTCCAAAAGCAGCTTCTTTTAGAATCTTTTTAAGAAACCTCTTCTAGAGCTTATTTTAGTAGCTTATTTTAGGAGCTTATTTAAGCAGCTTATTATAGAAGCTTGCCCGTCGCTCCGCTTCTCTGATTGGGTAACTACGCAGTAAAGAGCATTTTTCCAAGGTTTAACGAACATTTCATCGTTTGAATATTGCAAAACTTTGTTCTCTATGTCTGTCTGACTAACTAACAGCCAAAGTAACCATAAGGGAACATGCACACATGATGTACAAGGAGGGGAGGGGGGGGGGTTTGTTCAGAAGTTGTGATCGGCCAAGTCTAGATAGAGCTGGAATTAGGGCGTAACAGCCTTTGTAAACAATGACTCCTCTCGATGATTTCTAGGAATTCAAGGAAGTCTTCTCCTACTCGATGGTGATGTCGATTTGCCAGGGAGAGCCATGGCTTTCAAGAAATCATCGAGAGAAGTCATTGTTTACAAAGGCTGTTTCGCCCTAATTCCAGCTCTATCTAGAAGTATTAGATATAGCTAAATACACTACGAAGGGGGATGGGGGTCTAAAATTGGTCAAACATATGCTTCGTATTTTATGTATGGCCCCGAAACAAAGGTTTAAATCAGCTTGATTTTAACACCTCTCAAGTGGACCCTACACGATTACTTTTATTGACAATAATCGTATTGTCAATACATTCTATATTGACGTCAATATATCGAGATTGACAATATTTCTGAATTCACATCATCAATATTATTGTCAATAATTCCCCTTCGCGTCAATATATTGATGCGTGTGGGGTTTGCTTCAGTGTTCGAAAAATCTTTCTTAAATCGCGCTTGAGATTCTCATGCATATTCATGCACTCACACTCACAACGCCGAAAAATCATTTCAGCTTTATAACCCGTACTATTGCTTATATCATGTAATATAGGCTGTCTTGCAATGAGCACTCATACATATAGTTTTCACTGGATAATCCTATTTATTACATGATATAAGCCATGTACGGGGAATTAAACTCATAAAAACCACTCAAACGTCAATTGATAGCATGTTTATGCATGTTGTGTTAGTTTTCCAACCTCTGATGAGCAAACAATAGTACTTAGAATTAATAATGCAGACACATAAAGAAATTAATTAATTGAAGCTCAAAACTCATCGGTTATTTTTGCATGATATTCGATCGGTTATTCATGCATGATATTCGAGTTTTTAAGTTTTTCCGAACACTGACATCTATTACTAATAAGCCTTAAATTATCACTGACTGTCTGACTGGATGATTAACTAGCTGACTGTCTGACTGTCTACCACCTGTTTGTATGATTCAACTTTCAAACTATCAAGAACTGCTAATAGTTGACTATATCGCTTAAAACTAGTGATATACCGAATAGTAATATTTTGTATGGTATCCGGTGTTTATATTTTTTGGCTGATATTCGGCCATTTTTTTGACGTAGGACTACGTCTATGATTTCTATATGGGGGTACGCTTTGTGAAAACCAAAAGTGGAACATGAAACGAAATTATGAAAGAATTTGAACGATAATAACTCAGCTGCCCCTGAACAAATTTCAATAATTTTATCACCAATCGATCAGAAATATTTCTACGCATCGATAGCCGACTGTTGATTTTTAACAAGAAATTATTGAAAAAGTGGTAAATGTCAAGCATTGTCCAAAAGCGTCGAGATAACGAACTAATCCACCAATTACGTACATGTATATGCTGCTTCCCCAACACAGTCATCAGAGAACCGTTTCTAGACGAAACATGTCGATGTAGCATTGCTGCTTCCCCAACACTGTCATCAGAAAGTCGTTAGTAGACGAATCAAGTCGAAGTGGCATTCGCCTCCGATCTTCGGGCGTGTGCGAATAGGGAGGATGCAATTGCATAACATTTTGCATACTCATCGCCATATTCAGAACCACACGCCCCCAACGACCACACAAAATGCTCTACAGAGTTGTAATCTTGTATCCAAACTTGGAAGCAGGGGTGCAAGTGATTTTGATCGATTCTCTTCATCGACTTTCTGTTCCGTTAATAACTCGACGGCAAACTCATTCATTGATACGTTTGTTGTTCTGGATGATAGAAGAGCATAGCATAAATAGTGCGAAATAGGTTAGTGTGAAGCCATGATCATCAAAAGAGGCAATCGATTAAGATAATTGCCTCTCACCACTTTGCTTCTAAGGCCCTTAATTCAGTCGTCGTCATAGCAATGAAAACTAGCATCGCACCGCTTTTGGTTCTTGGGTTATACTTGCTGGTTGCAATTTTGCTGTTCGACATTCTCGAAGGACCACAAAAAAAAACATGAAATTACCCTATTTTCTAGGGATGCCTAAAAGTCCAGTTATTCGATTAACGATTAATCGTAAAGATTTTTCCAGCTATTCGATTAAATATTTATCGAATTTTCAATTATTCGAGCACGTAACCGATATCCCTTCTTATTTCTACTCGTTTGATTTAGCGCAGTAGAGAAAATAAATAAAAGTACTAATCGAGAAGAACCATGACGTGAAGCAGGATCATAAATTCGCCGCAAAAAGTGTTAAGCGTCTTTCTGCTAAAGGTAAAAATTTACCAACTTCTTGAGAGAAGGAGTTTAACGAGAAAAACTAAAAAGGGGATTAGCTTTAGCTGGATGGACACTGATATTCTGTGGCCTTCCAACTTGTCGCAGACACCAGTTCAACCCCTGTCCAGCAGCAGACGGGCCGAGACTCTTGCGAGTGCCCAATCATTGAACCGAAGAATATGGGATTGTCCGGTCCGATTTGCTGATCCAGCTGCCTATACGTCATCATCAGCTTTCAAAGGCTTTAAGTCTGTACTACCATCGGCCCTTTTCAGAGGCACCAAGATTTTTTAAAAGAGTTAAATTTCTAAACATGTCCCAACTAAAGTTTATATCAAGAGGTTCTTTTCAGGGCAATCGTAGTCATAAGACTGATGCAAAATTTAAATTTTCGCTCCACAGTGTTCAAACGGTTTCAAATCAGGTCCTGATTAGCCTCCGAAAGTTTAAACTTATTTGATAAGAAACTGACTTGGCACAAACCATTTGAAGTTACTATGGAAAAACAAAATTTCTTGTTCATTGTCTTCTTGCCTTTTACATATTGTACTGTTAAAAAATTCTATTTCTATTCTAATGGGTTTTTTTTATCAGCTACAACTTCACAGAAAATCGTTTTTCAGCCAAACGTCAAATTAAATAGCTATTAATTGTTTAAGAGATTGATAATCTTATGGCAAGATTAAGCAACTGTATTGTGAGCAACACTGTATTCTGCAGTGTGACATAGTAGCCCTGATTTTTGTCCTCTATTCCACGCGCCATAAACACCAATGTTGCCTGCTGAACAGTTGATTGAGCACTATCATAAGACATCAGTGACTCGAATCATTAATAATTTTTGTTCCTTACATTTGATCGAAAAGTGGACTTCAACAAAGTTGTGGCTGAGAAAATTTTCAACAAGCTCAGCTATCATTTTATAAAGTAGAGTGAACTGGTGAATTTTGAGATCGATATGAACCAGAATTATGGTTTCTCCATAGTAATTCCTATATAAACTTCAAATGGTTTGTGCCAAGTCAGTTTCTCACTAAATGAGTTCAAATTTTGGGAGGCTAATCAGGGCCCAATTTGGAGCCGTTTGAGCGCTGTGGAGCGAAAATTTCAAATTTTGCATCAGTCTAATAGTCATACTAAAGAGTGTAAACATATTCCTATTCCTACATAGAACACAAGCTCCTGCTACAGTTAACAAATAACATTTATTATATAAGACCACGTACTCCTACGTCACCATTGCGTACAACCCCATAGGGCTGTCCCTTGTAGTTTTTCTTACAAGTGATAGAATTAGAGGGATATTTTGCATGCTCTAAATGCATTATTCGGCCAAAATATTCGACCCGATATTCAGTGCATTACTACTAAATACGGTACATGCCCAATAACGATCATAAAACCTACACAGTTTGAAAAGTAGTGTAAAATTCTGTTCAATATGATGCACATAAAAAGAGATTCATATCTCATCTAAGTTTACGTTATAAATCGTGTAAAGTTCTGAGACATTACATGAAATGTTGCAAATATTGTGTACTAAAGCCCATATTTGTAAACAACATTGCTTACAAGTTGCTCGTTTTCGTGAAATGAAATACAAGTTTACGGGAATTAATGTTTACATCACAATTATAATTCAGAAGTTTTTGCTGTCATTCAAGATTAATGACCATCAAATCTCGACTTTTCTTTCATTAGAGCCAATGTCACAAAAGTAAATTCTCGAGAATGAAAACTCGCCCAAGTAAACCACCACAATGA